TCCCCCTTTCCTCCTGGGGGCTTGGGGGCCCCGGGGGGGGGGGGGGAGGGAGGGTTGCTAGGGTGGGAGGGGAGAGACAGCAGTCTGAGAGGAACTCTCTTCTCTCTTCCCAGAGAGAAGAGAGCACCCAGAAAACCAAGCCCCTCCGTGCCCCCTTTCTTTCCTGTGCAAGTGTGTGTCTCTCCTTTGCCCTCCCTCCCTCTCTCTCCCTCCCTTCCTCCCTCCTTCCCTCCCTTCCTCCTTCCCTCCCTCTAACTCACTGTTTCCCTTCCTCTCCCAACCCTACTTGAGAATGAGGAAAAGACTTGGCTTCTGGCTTTACTGAGCCTGCTCACCCACCCAGGGTAGGCAGCCTTTCACTCTCTCTCCTTCTGTTGACAGTGACGGCGCAGGGAGGAGTGGAACCTACATCCTGATTGACATGGTTCTCAATAAGATGGCCAAAGGTGAGAGACTGGGATGGTGTTGCTATAGCAACGGAGGGGGAGGCACTGTTCACAGGAGGCCTGGAGGGGTGGCGTGGGGGGGCTACTGTTGTCCCTTTCCGGAGTCAAGAAGTCGAGTGGAGGATGTCTGCAGCAAGTGTGTTTTGTTTATGAGGTTCGCACGTAGTGGGTCTACAGTGAGGACATGTCCCATGCAGCTTGATGCTGGTACCAGGAGGGTCAGAGGGCAGCCTTGGACCTTCAAATCCTGCTACAGGTCAAAACAGCCTTGTGTAGCCTTCTGCTGCTGTTAACTGGTTTTGCAAGATGTGGTTCAGTTTCCTGACTCCTTCACCTACAAACAGGTTCTAACACCATCAGCATGCAGTCTTGGTTTAGAGGAGTGTGCCTGCCTGCCTGCCTGTGTGTGTGTGTGTGTGTGTGTGTGTGTGTGTGTGTGTGTGTGTGTATGTCTGTGTCTGTGCGCTGGGCTTGAACCCATCCTCACACAAGCTAGGTAAGCACTCTGGCCCCACACGAGCCCTCTAAGGCCCTCCTTAAGACTTAAAGTGGGTTGTGGGCCGGGGATGCTGGGCCCACAACAAGACATAGAGCCTGTCCCTCAAGAGGACCCCAGGCTTTCTTGTGTTGGGTTTTAAGAAAGGGCTCTATCTCCCCTGAGGATCTGCATCCTCAGAACCCTAGACAAAGCTGCTGGGAAGGCCCAGCACCTACCTGCCTGCCCCCACCTGGCCCCTCCTGACTGACGCATGCCATGGGTCCCAGGAAATACAGATCTGGGTAGCACTTTACAGTCTCCCTCATCTGTGAACAAGCTGTTCTGTTGGAATACATGCGCACACCGTTTTTCCCTGGGGTTGGGCACCTTCCACACATGGCACTCCATCCTTTGCCTGGCCGCCTTAACTGAGCCTGATGGTAGAGATGGGTTCCTGTGCATTTCACCAGACAGCTGGCATTCCTGACTCTGTTTTCCCCTGGCAAGAAGAAAAAGGAAAGTTGGGGAATGAGAGAGAGAAAGGGGGGCAGAGGGAGGAGGGAAAGGGGAAAGAGGGAGGAGGGAAAGGGAAAAGGGAGGAGGGAAAGGGGAAACAGAGAAGAAGGAAAGGGGAAACATGGAGGAAGGAAAGGGGAAACAGAGAGGAAGGAAAGGGGAAACAAGGAGGAGGGAAAGGGGAAAGGGAGGAGGGAAAGAGGAAAGAGGAAGGAAAGGGGAAACAGGGAGGAAGGAAAGGGGAAACAGGGAGGAGGGAAAGGGGAAACAAGGAGGAGGGAAAGGGGAAAGGGAGGAGGGAAAGAGGAAAGAGGAAGGAAAGGGGAAACAGAGAAGAAGGAAAGGGGAAACAGAGAAGAAGGAAAGGGGAAACAGAGAAGAAGGAAAGGGGAAACAGAGAAGAAGGAAAGGGGAAACAGAGAAGAAGGAAAGGGGAAACAGAGAAGAAGGAAAGGGGAAACAGAGAGGTAGGAAAGGGGAAACAGGGAGGAGGGAAAGGGGAAACAGGGAGGAGGGAAAGGGGAAACAGGAGGAAGGAAAGGGGAAACAGAGAGGTAGGAAAGGGGAAACAGGGAGGAGGGAAAGGGGAAGGAAAAGAGAAGGGAGAAATGGCAGAAGGATAGAAGGAAAAGGGAAGAGGGGAGAATATGAGGTGATAAAGCAGGGTTCACACAGAGGCCCCCAAGCATGCGGAAAGTGACCTGAACTTGTAGCCAGGGACTTTTGGGCTAGCGCCAAGCACTTCAGACACCCTGAAGCTCCAGGCTTCTTCCACTGGCTCTGGGGCAATGACTCTGTTCTCTGAGCTGCCAAATGTTGGCTTAAGCCCAGCCCTAGCACCACCACGCCTGCTTAGCGACATATAGAAAGCACATGGATGAAAGCCCAGGCAGAACGCACATGCTCTGTCACCGCTTTCAGTAATGTTGCTTGTCAGGGGCATAGCACAGCCTTAACATTTTTCTTAAGTCTTCTTACCCATTAATGCTGCCCTGGCTGATTTTAAACATCTTTTTCCTAGCAAACATGCAGTTGTCAGCGCCGGTAGCAATCAGTGAGGCTCATACTTCTTCCCTGATTGCCCGTGCTCTCTACTTGTTCTCATGAACATAATATTTTCCTTTTGTTACATCAAAATCCCTCGGAGTAATAGATCATTTCAGCTGGATGTTTCTTTCTTGGCTGCTTTTGCAAACAGTGTGCTATTAAAAAAAAAAGAAGAAGAAGAAGAAGAAGATGATGATGATGATGATGAAAGCTCCTTGGCAAACATTTATTTCATGATGTGAAAAGATGCCAAACAGAGCAGGTGGAGCCTTGGTGGAGGAGGCCACTAGGTTGGTGTGAGTGACTCCATTCACCCACCTCCTAGAGAAATAAGTGAGACCAGTCAGTCGGTTGGGCCCAGGGGGTGGGCTAACTGTCGTCCACCAAGCCCAGGCCTGCCATTCGCCATCTCCATTCTACCATGTAATGTCAGATTCCATTTAAAGTGTGGGCTTGGTGTTCACAATACAAGTCCATCCATGTGGAACTGGTCAGAGCCAGCAGGCTCCCTGCTCTCTGGGATCCATCACCCTCTTTCCAATCCTGACCTGTTCCCCTTCCACTGGGAGGAGGTAGGGGGAGGGGGCTTGCAGTGTGAAATCCCCTGACCTGGGGCCCCAACTGGGGTCTCAAGAGAGATCAAAGGGCAGGCGGCCCCTCACAGACCGAGGTGGGCCTTTCCCAGGCCACCACCCCAAGAGGCCGTTGGGGGTTTGTCCTGGGCGGCTGGGGTGCCTTTGTCTGGCCTGAGAAGCTGGAGGCCCAAGTTGCCGACCCCGTGTTCATCAAATGATCAGAAGCCCAAAGACCTGGACATGCAGCCTTTCTTCCCCGGTCCCCTTTCTTAAAAGAAATGAATTGCAGGAACAGCAAAGAAAGCCTTTGCAAAGCTGGTCTGTGCGGGCCATGGCGGCAGCGCTATCCTCAGAGTCCTCCGCCTGCGTGTCCAGCTGCACCAGGCAACAGCTCTCATTCAGGAAGCCTTTCAGGGATTAAGGCCCTCGGCCCGAACACAAGGGCTAGAAGAATGGAGCTGGAATAATTTAAGTTCTTTCTGTGCTGTCTGGGTTGTTAGCTAGTAGACAATGATGCAATTGGAAATCAAAGTCAATGGACCCCCCCACACTCTCACCCCCCCACCCCACTCTGGAACGGCCGAGCTGCACTTAGGTAGTGAGGTTTGGAGGTTTGGAGATGCATTTGTAAGTTGTCACAGTGAATGGGTCTTCTACTGTGAAGAGATGTGTGGCCTCTCCTACAAGAAGGGTTTGGTTTTCGCCTGGCTAGGTGTGAATTACCAGCCCTGCTGTCTTCTAAACTGTTTTCTAAGTTTCAGCCATCGCATGCATCCTTTTACCCAGAGCTTCTTTCTCTTTCATTATGATGTTTGAAAGGTAGGGAGAGTGACCCAGGCTTCCCCGGCTGAGTCACCCCGGCAGCAGTGGGATCCTTAGCGCTGTGACATTAAGGATCACTCAGGCAGGACCAGTACAGGAACAACACAAGACTGCAAGATTTTGGCAACATGCCTAGCAGGAGTTGGGGAGAGCAGAGGGTCTCTTGTCCTCCAGATGAGGCACACATCTGCTTTGAATAGAGGCTGGCAGCTAGGTCTCCCTCTGCTGTGGCCCCACTAGGGGCATAGGGCAGGGCAGGTGCTTTCTGACCAGCTACGGGCTAGGAACTGTACCTTCCAGTGTGACTCTCTGACTCTCATCCCCTGCACCACCAGTATGTATTAGAATAGACTCAAGTTAGTTCACATGCACGCAGTGCAAATTCTAATTGGTCTTAATAATAAAATAAGCTGAAAGATCAGAGAAGCAGAGCAGCCTGTCACTGGCTCTTACCTCCACCTCAGACTGAATGCTCAAAGCCCCTGTCTCCTCCCTGCCTTATATTCCTCTCTCCACCCAGCCATATCACTCCTGTCTCTACCCCACAAGTGCTGGGATCACCTTTGTGTGAGCTGTTTTTCTCTTTTAGACAGATTCAATCTCTTGTAGCCCAGGGTGGCCTTGAATTTATAGAGATCCATCTGCCTCTGTCTCCCGAGTGCTGGGATTAAGGCCGTGTGCCACCACTGCCTGCCCTCTGTGGCTAACTAGTGTGGCTAGCTCCACACGCTGATCTTCAGGCAAGCTTTATTTGTTACAACACAAAGTATCGCCACACACTAGGACAGGGCTGCTACGCTGGGAGATCCTACAACCAGAGTGGATGTGAATACCAGGTCTGTAGCTCCAGACTCCTCCTGAACATCCCCCCCCCCAGGGTGCCCTCTCTTGTAAGAGGTGCAGTCTGTGACCAGCCTGGGTATCTCATGTCTAGGGAAGCTTGGACTGTCCATCCTTCTGCACCTGGCTGACTCCCCTTAGCAGCACAGTGTCTTCAAGTTCACCCACTCTGCTGCTAATGTCGGTCTTCCCAGGACTAACCATAATGAGTTACAGAGTAGACCGCATCTGGCTCATCCGTTTCCAACTTTGAGCTACTGCCTGGATGTGCAAGATCTGCTGGAACCCTTGTTTGGAACTGTTTGGAGTATACATCTAGGGACAGGATGTTTTTTTTTTATATATGTATTATAAATATATATATATATATATATATATATATATATATATTATACATATTTTTATGCTGAGCAAATTCTCCCTCACCTCCCACCCTCTTTCCTGTCCCCGCCCCCATCCCCATTACATGTGTGATTTCCTATATGTATAAAACCCAAGGAGTCATGATGGGAGAACACGCAGGCATCTTTCTGAGCCTGGCTTCATTCACTTAGGACCATCCCCAGCTACATCCATTATTATTTCCCTGCAAACAACGAAACTCCACTCTCCATTAAGTCTCAAAAGGTGCCGTTGTCTTTGTCCATTCCTCTCTTGATGGACACTTGGTTGGCCCCTTAGCTGAGCTAGTCTGAATCCCGCTGCAGTAAACACCACCGATG